CCCCCCCGGGGCGCGGGAGTGGGGCCCGCCCCGGCCGCTATTGACTACTATGATAATTATATATTTTAAGTACTATATGTTTCCGTGCCTTTATATTTGGATCTTTAGAAGTTTTTGGTATCCTTGTACTGTGTTTTCTCAGGTTTGTACCTGTGCAACAACTTAAGATTTATATATATATATATATATATGTGTGTGTGTGTGTGTGTGTTTATTACAGGTAATAAAAAAAAATATAAAAAATAAATGAATTTTTTTAAAAAAAAAATACAATCTACATCGATTGTCAGCAAAATCGATGTAGATTTTACACATTTCTACATCGATTTTTGAAACCGATGTAGAAGTAAATGTATTTCTAAGTCGTCCTATTCTAAGTAAATGTTTAGAAAAGAACGTTTTTCCCAACAAAGGAAGTCAAAACTTAGTCCCGGAGGAGATGGACCCTTTCAAGTCTTATAACGTATCAATGATAACGCTTATAGGCTTGATTTACCCTCTGATTATGGTGTTAGCCTTACTTTTAATGTTAGTGATTTGAAACCTTTTGTAGGGGCTAGTGATGATGAGGATGAGCCTTTAGATTCGAGGAAGAATCCTTCTCAATAGGGAGGGGATGATGGAGGAGCATGGACCAAAGGTCCAACCACTAGAGCTATGGCTAAGAGGCTACCTGAAGATTTGACTACTTCAGAGCTTAGTAGGCCCAATGGGTTTAATGGGCCTAGGGTACTCTTCACATGGGCTTTGCATGAATGACTACCTTTTATTGTATTCTTCATAGTGTAGGATTTCATTTTTTTTGATCTTGTATTATGGGCCACTAGTATAGGTATTTTGGGCTTTAGGCTTATTGGGCCTAGTTTTGGGCTCCATGGGCCTTTGGGCTTTTGGTACCCAATTTTGGGCTCATTTTAATCTTTGTAATTTTTCCTTTCCATTGTATTTGATTGGCCATTATATTTAGGTCATTAGATTAGGAATATAAAAGGAATTCAATAATAGGACTATTAGGCTTAATCTAAGTTTAATTTAGGAGTCATTTGATTTGAATTTGGGTCACATGGTTTAAGCATTGTGGTACTGAACATGTGCGCCCAAATTCAATCCAAATACAGTCTAAATTAAACCTAGATGAGGGCTAGAAGCATCACTCACAGATTAGCACATGGGTGATACAAAATTTGAATTTCAAATTCCATTTGAAATTCAAATCTTGGCGCCTAAATTGCTTGCTTGAGTTGGGGCCACTAGCTTGCTTGATCCAGTCCTATATATTTCATACTTCACTCATTTTGTATTCACTTTGAACATTATAGAGAATTATCTTGAAAATTGCTTCAGCTTTCTCTCCTCTCAAAGTCACTTGGCCGAATAGTTCTTAGAACTTTTCTAGGAACTAGGTCTACTTTTGTGAGTAATCCTTTACTCACTTGGCAGTAGTGCTTCTGGTTCCTTTCTTCTTTCATCTTCATCTAACCTCCTCAAGGAAATGATCAAGAAGTCGTGCAATTCAAGGAGTGAAGAACATCAATCTTCTTCACTTGGAATTGCCATCATAAATGCACTTGTTAAATAAAATACATTTGGTTGTTATAGTCAATTTTGATTAATCTGTGATGAGATAAATATTTTAAAAAATTTGTAATAGTTTTCTTAATTAATTAGTGGTAATCGTGTTTATGATGGATATTCTAAAGTGTTAATACCTTCCTTACATATAATCAACTCCCAAATTCAAAATCTGATTTTCTAGACTATTTATTTTATTTTATTTTATGGGTTTTCTAACATTTTTCTGTAAAAATAAATATTGGTGGTGGCAACTCCCTATTTTTCAATCTATTTTTATCATCCCATGGTAGATTTATTCATGCTGACGGAGAAGCTAGCAGCAATCCAAAAACCTTTTCTAAATTTACTGCAGCCTCGAGAAAGAATCTTGGGAAAGTCGGTTTCTGATTTTAAGCTAGGGAGCCTGGTAGAAAATTTAAGTCTGCTGTTGTTCTTGAAACAGAACCGGAGTGGTAATCTTGGTGCAGTTGTGATTGTTGATAAATCTGGTCCTAGAATGCTTGATGCAGTAATTGTTTCAGGTGATGTTAATTCTGCCAGTTTTGGTTCCTGGTTTGGACCAAGGTGTAAAGGACCTTGGTGCCATGCTGTCAGCCCATGAACCAACTGCAAAGGCTAATCCAGTCAATCCAGGAGTGGCTGATATTGGTGCTGCTGCTACGGCTGAATCAGTTTCAACTGTTTATGCTGGTCCAATCAATCCAGAAGTGGCTGATTTTGGTGGTGCTGCTACGGATCATATTTCTGAATTAGCTTCAATTATGGTTGCAGGCTTTAAACCTGGTGTTGATGCAGCTTTACATAATTCTGCTGCTAGACCCCTGTGAAACGGGACAGACTCGGTGAATGTAGCAATTGGTGCAACTGAACTCATAGTTGTTGTCGGTGTAGTAAATTCACACGGTGATGATCCAGCACTTGCTTTTTGTGTGGAATAAGCAACTGCTTATGTTGATAAGCAAAAATTGGTTGATTAGCAGTCAGATCTTGATCCTTTGATGGCTGATTCAGAGTTGGAAGTTGCTAAAGAATTGGATTTGATTCAACTAAAGGATAATGCCACGAGTTTTGAAGGAATGTCTCCTCTTGAGAGCATATCTGAACATGAAGTACAGCAGGAAATGCCTGTTGAAACTGCCCCTGTTGCTGCTGTCAAAACTACAAGATCTCAGGCCTTTGGTGTACAAAAAACTGCATATGCCGATTCTGGTTATGAATCTGATCAGATTTCATCTTTCCCCTAGAATATCAGGATTCGTCCGAATTTCCTCCATCAGTTCAACAGTTTTTTAGAGTTCTTGTTGAAAGTGATTTTTCTTGGAATGAGGTGGCTCAATCTTCTCAAAAGCCTAAAACGCAAAAGCTCAAGATAACATTGACTCCAAGACCTCAAAATAGAGCCTATATGGAAAAGCCCGTTAGAATTCGTAGAAATGGGAATTCTAATAATTGATCCTTTCCTATGATGAAGTTTATGTTTGATTAATTATCTTTAGCAGAGTGACTGTTGTGTATATGCTAATATGTTGACTCTTTATCTTATTGGTTGTTTCCCTTCTTATATTACTCTTTATTGGTGGATTTTGATTTGGTCTCACCACTTTTTATGTTCTCTTTTTCTTTAATGTTTAGCATCTTTATTATGTGCATATAATTGATGTGGGGTAGAGTGCTAATCTAGTATGATTAAGAAAATTGAATATTAGTTAGTCAAAGATAATCAGTCATGCACATGACAAAAGTTAGTATAAATTAAAGAAAAACTAAATGAATATATAATTTACATTTTAAATTATAAAATAATTTCTCAACAAAATGACACTGAATACTATCAAATGTAGAAGGAATGTATTTTTCAAAATCTAAAATCTAAATTAAAAAATCATTATTTTTTCTTTTAAAAATGATAAAAAAAAAATTCATTTTAGCTTCATCTTATCCAAATTAATATATATTTTGTTTTGAAAATTTCATTTAAACCCAAAAAATAAAAAAATAAAGATGCATAATTTTTTTTAATCTTATTATATTAGAACCTTAAGAATTAGACTTAAGATTTAAACTATGAAAGTAGATGTAATCCTCCAAGGGTTAACTAAATTAACATAGAACTTAATATGTTTAATTGAATATAATTATCATCAGACAATTTAATTAGATACACCTTTGAATCTTGAGAGGGAAAGAAAAATACCTTAGATTAATTGACTTTCAAAGACAACAAATAAATACAAAATAAAATGATATTTAAATATATGAGGACTCCTTGAGTCAATCCTTAATTCTAGAAATTTCTTTTATAATTAATAACTTTAATCACCTTAATTTCATTCTTTCTCAAATTTATTTTTAGATTTGTTCTCAACTTGCCTCCAAACATTCATAAGGTCAAACATATGACCCCTCTGGATTCGATAATTTATTACACGATGATAATAATAAGCTTGCGGTTTTCTCACATCAATAGGCATCAAGCCCCTATTTGAGACGTCGTTCAATACTCACCAAACTCGATTACCTCTCAAACTTCCCAAATTTGATACAATTTGCCACACCTTATATATGGAATATCTTAATAAACTCCAATGTAGCCTAACTAACTTTTCACGTATTATGTCACACCCTACCCCTATATAAATGGAACCATCTTCAACTATTTGTAGGTTCTAATGTCAAACCCTCAATTGTTGTATTTGAACATGCTATAAATTGTTGTTCTATTTTATTTTATGTTCATATTCTTTGAAAAAACTCACAGTTTTACATGAATAATATGTATTTAGGAAGTAGAGCTTGGACACTCCGTCGGTCAAGGTGAACTGTACAAGCTCACAAAAAAAAAAAAAAAAAAGATGGATCCTATATTAATGAGATGGCAAGATTTGTTGGGATAATTTATAGGGACTTTATAGTACACCAATATCTCTTTGAACTTTGGTCATTACAGAGAATTTAGTTAGTCTATATATTATTTTCTTGTATTTTTTTTTTTTTTTTACAATTTCCCCTATTATTGAATATTTGATGGAGCTAAGTTGAAGAAGATTGTTGAACTTCAACTCCTCCATGCTTGGACCGAATGTTCTTGAGGTTATCCTTTGGAGAAGCTCGAAATCTCCTTGAAGAAACCTTCAATGGAGGAGAAGCCTTGGAAGGAGGTTCGGTTACTTCTAGTTCAATGTAGAAGCTTAAGGAACCTAGGCAAGGTTTGAAACCTTTGGTGAATTTCTTAGTGAAGAAATTCCTCACGGTTTTTGGAGTGACTCTTGATGAGAGAAATCTGAATATTATTTCTCAAAATGCTCAAAAGTGATTACAAAGGTAGGAATTACAAATATATAGGGAAAGGTAGCTTATAGGAGAAGCTATCCTTAATCATGGTTCACTAGGAACCATGGTAAGGTAAGCTTACCTTGCTTGAGTTTAGAAGCTTGCAAGACAAGCTTCAAAACTCAAGAAGGTTACTTAGAAATTTCGGCCAAAAGAGAAAGGATGAGCTAGGCGGCCTTGAACCAAAAATGCTTCATGATTTAATTTGAAAATTCTTGATTTGGTTTAGTTAGGTTCATCATATGATGATGAGACCTAGCTAAATCAAATCTATGAAAAATTAGGAGCAAATTGAGTCCAATATGCAAAATTTTGCCTAGGCCCAACTCAGGCCCAATTTCTAAGCGCACTCCCTAGCTTGCTAAATGTCACCCCCTTTTCCCTACTGAAAAAATACAAAATGAATGTATCAATTAGGGAGGTTAAATGAAGTTAAATTCTCCAAGTAACCTACCTCAAAAACAATATACAAACACTAGGAAAAGCAAGCAAAGTGCCTCACAAATACAAAGGCAAAAATAACCTATACAAAAGACTATGTATAAACTGTACAATATAAACAAGTAGAACTAGGCCTTCTCTTCATGATAGAGCATTCCAAGTGAAGATTACCTTGGGCTTGACAAGCCCACTAGTCTTCACATGGTCCAACTCTTCCTATATTCTTCTAGCCATAGCTCTGGTCACTGGGCCCTTGGCCCATGATCTATCAATATTGATGGTCCATATTATCGGTATTTCATGCATGTTAGTAAATGTTTGTTTGGAAAGGTGAGATGCTTATATTTAGAACTTGTTTTCTTTTTTCTCTTGCAGGAGAAGATTGCACAAGAAATGAGTCAATTCGAAAATTCTACAACAATTTCATCTAGTGATGCACTTGCTAAAGTTTTGGGGGAAAGATCATTGTAGATGCATGTGTACGTTGCTTAGGAAAATTAAGGAGGGCTTCATAGTATTGCCTTTAAGTCTAACACAAGATATTATGATGTAGGATCTAGTTATTTTAGTTATAAATCTGGTGAAAATTCTAATTAAAAAAATAAATTAATAGTTTTAAGGCTAATCTAGCAACGACAAAAGAAAATGTCAACACATCATTAAAAACTGTAATGCTTGCATTCATTCAACTGAAGGAAGACTATATTCCCCCAGAGTTAGTTTCTATGATAAACAATCTTAATAATCTAACGAAAATAATTATATTAACTTGAATGAAATTTGTCTTATATATATTTTATTAATTATGCTAACATGATGAAATTATTTGTTTTTATCATAGGATGAAGAGTGAGCAAGATGTTCTAATACCATATGAAGGATTCTCATTAGCTAGTAATCCTAATGGTGTTTGACATATTATGTTGGTTTAGTGAACATTTTGGATAACATTTTACGAACTATGTAATTAGTTCAAATTTTATGTACTTAACATATTTGAATTTCACATATTATGATTTTTAGTTCAACTTTTATGTACTTAGTTGAATTCATGTGTATTTGATTTGAGTTTGGTAAATCATAATGTTTAGATTATTTTTGTGTGCTTAAGTATTTGTGTTTTTATTTCTTAAAATTGATATATATTAAAAATTAAGAAATTATTTTAAAAGGATGTTAATTTTGAAATTATGATTTAGATGGACAGTAAAGTACCCCAAGCGTGTGGTTCAGCGGTAGGGGTTGATCCACGCTTAAGCAAGGTCAGGGGTTCGAATCTTGCCTTGTGTATGCAGCCGCGTTAAATCTTGGGGCCAGCTATCCCACCCTTTGAGGTGCCTCCAACGTAGCGAGGAGATTAGTCACTGCTGTCGGCGGTGGATACTCCAGGAACGATACTTAAACAATAATATCGATAACTTTTAACCAATAAGAATTAAATAAAATAATTTTTAATTTATAATTATTTTTAGCAATTCAAACAATTATATTTTGTGACGGTAAAAAAACTAAATAAGTGTTAAATAATTAAAAACACAATTTTTGGAAATATTTAACCCCGAATAAAAATAAAAAATGAAATGGTGAATTTATTAGCAACTATATTTTAAAATCTGTCACAAATTTTCTAACAAACGAAAAGGTGACAGCTATTTTAACTGTCAAGAAAAACATTTATGGCCGCTTTTAACTCTTAGAAATTTCATTTTTAACGTCACAAATTATAAGTTTTTTTTAGTGAGTAAATACTTTCCCATATATACAATTTCTACTTGAGGACTTGTTTTTAAATATTTCACTCACACAATTCAATTCCCTTTGTTGTATATCATTGTTAACTTCACAAGGTGCTTTCGAAGATTTTGGTAAATGGACTACAAAAGGTCATTTCCTATATAAATCATACTCTAATCATTGAGGGATGACAAATTTTGGATGGGTCCTTATTGCAAATGTGGTTGTACCTCAATGAAGAAAAGTTAATTGCAAATGAATATTATGTTTTAAAATTGAATTTGAGAAAGCGTACAACCCTCTCAATTGGCAATGATAATGTATATGATGTAATGCATTGATTTTAGAGCAAAATGGAGAAGGTGGATTAGAGAATGCATATGATAAACTACAATTAAATTATTTTCATGACATATCTTATTCATATTTTTGCATCTTTATTAAATTATTGAAATTATATAAAGAAAATAGGCCAGGTGTTACAAAATCAAAATGCTAATAGTGTATACTTTTGCATACCAGGAAGAATCAACAAACCTTGCTACAAGGATAAAAATTTTGGGACGATTACACAGCACAAATACAAAACAATATAAAACACAATGTTTGAAATTGATAAAATATTGTCTACATACATAAGATCATTAATATTTTTATGGTTTCGATACAAACACGTGATACTTCCTGTATCATTATTGATGAGTAGCAATGATCCAACTGTCCATCTCCAAAAGAATAAAAATAAAAATAACACAAAGAAAGGTTCACAAACTTCAGGTTTTGAGTGTATATCAGGTTACATACCTTCAATCATCTTGTTTATCCAACCATGTCTCAAACCGAAAAGGATAGGAAGAAATGCGTCGGATAATTGGATTTCTTGATTCTGAAGGGAACCAGCAGAGAATAACATACAGAAACAAAAGCATGAGAATGAAGATCACACATAAAACCATAATAGTGGTGGCCAGCCAACTGAGATCACTTATGACAAGGTGGACAGCAGCCATGAATGCCACTGATAGAGATGTAAGAGTGACTCCTAAAACGGGCATTGCCACTTTAAGGGAATAAATGGCCAAAGTTATATCTCCCAATTGAGCCCAAATGAGAATAATAATAGCACTAATGGAACCGTACATGGATACTGTGATGCAGAAAATAAATAGCTTAAACCATGCATGCTTTAGCATGAGGGCCATTCCATGTCCTGTATCAGAGCTATTAGTTCCTCCTGGAAAAGTAATACCTGCGGCAAATGCTACTGTAGTTATAATGGTTGAAACCAGAATAAGGGTGTTGATTCTGTCCTTGTACAGGTCCATGTTTATGTCTTGCTCTTTGTAACCATTTGTAACACCTAGGGTGTTGATTTTGTCCTTGTGCAGGTTCATGTCTATGTCTTGCTCTCTGTAACCATTTGTTACACTTAGGGGGTCAGGGACCTTGATAGAGTGTGGCCCCTTTTCAGCATGTTGTCCTACGCGAACAGATTTTAGTGCAGTCCACACTAGCCGCTACAAATACATGTTTTGTATATCATACATTAAAAAATTCAATAATAAAGAAAGAAATTGTCTAACAAATATTTAATGAAAGGACTGATCATGCTGATCCATGTTTTTTGGACAACTTGTGCATTGAAACTATCATAAATAAAGAGAAAGAAACAATGTGAGAGTTTGACGAATAAGAAAATATATAAACAAAATCCTTCCCTAGCATATTCATCATTAAGTAAATTTCGATCAAATTAAGAATAAAAAAAAATAGAGTAGATTTTGATAAATCTAAAAGTTATTTTCTAATGATAAACTTGTTCTCTTAATTTAGAAGAGATTCACATAGAGGAATAGGGGGTTTGAGATGGAAATCTCTGAGGATGTGTCGGCATGACAAGGTTTTCCCCCATTAAAACTTCTTAACAGGGGTAAGGACATGGCAAAAACAAGGTTTCTTTTTATGACAATATAAGAGCAACTCCAATAGAAGTTGCTTCGCCCATCAAACAACCCCAACCTCAGTTTCTTATACATTGGAGTGGTGTGACATGGTAGCAAGAGTTTCTTGCAGAAGAGAGGGTTGCTTAGTGAAGCAACTGTTCCTTACCTTTGTGAACAGAAGGAGGCGCGGTGGTTGGATGGCGGAGGCGCGCGGTTGGACGGCGGAGGCGTGCGGGTGGACGGCAGAGGCGCGCGGGTGGATGAGGTACCGAAGGAATTCCAGCACGTGCGCATTGCTGCAGCGTGAGAGCGAGAGAGGGGGTCTGGAACGTTTTCCAGTTACGCTGCTTCTGGTTCTGGTAGCAGCTCAGAGTGGCGGAGTAAGACGGTGGCGATGAGGGTAGTGCCAGTGAAGGGAAATTGGAGGTGGTGCCTTCTGTGAGGTCGATGCCCTTCATGTCTGTGTTTACTGAGGGTTTGAAGAAAAAGGAAAAAAAAATTGAAAAAGGGACGTTGAGTTAAAAATAAGAAATAAGAAATAAGAAATAAAAAATAAAAAATAAATAAAAAATATCCTAAAACTACCGTTAAAATAGCCGTTGGCTTGCTTCAAAAGAAAAGTATCCGTTGGCTTTTTAAAAAAAAAAATAGAAAAAGAAAAATATCACTATAAATATTCATCAACTCAATTCAAAAATTTGGACCTTTTTAATTCTCTTCTACTTCTTTTATCTTGCTTGTTTTGCTCTCAAAAATGGATCCTAACCAATACAATCATCAAAATTTTTAAATGCTTTCCAAAACCAACCACCACCGACGAGTGCAAATTCGCAAATTCCTCCGCAATATGTTATGTATCCACCATCTTATTTTAGTGAAAATTCTCAAAATCCACCACCTTATTGGTCAGCACCACAATATTATATGTTTACATCACATCCACCTAGTGGTGATAATTCTCAAGGACCACAATTTTTTAGTCAACCACCACCTCTCACCAACCCAAATGCATGTTATAGGCATTCTCTTTAACCTGAATCACCAATTGGTCTGGATGGAATTCAACTAGATGGAAGTGCAGAAAATTCGTCAACAAAAAAAATTTGTGTTCCATTCACAGTTCAAGAAGATATTATTCTCGTGAGGTCATGGGTCAATACGTCGAAGGATCTAATCATAGGAGTTGATCAAACGTTACGACAATATTGGTCGAGAATCACAGAAGCATACAATAACGATGAAGACCGTTGTGAGTTCATAAACAAAGAATCGACTCAACTAAAAGCACGTTGGAATCGAATTCATCCTGCAGTTCAAAAATTTATTGGTTGCTACAAACAAGCAATTAGTCAAAAGAAAAGCGGGAGTTCGGAGAAAGATGTCATGGCATTCGCACACAAGATTTACACTCAAGATACTGGTAAAAAATTTAATATGGAGCATGCATGGGTCATTTTGAGAGATGAACCTAAATGGTAATCTGATTTCCTGCAACACAATTCAAAAAAAGGGAAGCTAACGTCTGCAGGTGGTTTACTCTTCGTCTTCCAACACAGAGACACCCATTGAACTTGATGAATATGAGATACCAACGCCAACATCCCATCCGATAGGACAAAAGGCAGCCAAAAGGAAGGCCATAGGAAAAGAAACTTCTAACACTAATTTTGTTGATTTTTCTGGCACAGAAAATGCAATAAATTAAAGGCGAAAAATGCCTATGCATCAAGACTAATTGAGTTGAAGGAGGCACAAGAAAGATGTTTGGAATATGAAACCATAATGAAGGATACTTCCAACATGAATGAGACTCAACATGAAGCTCATGAGAAGTATTGTAACTATCTTAAACAACAATATGGGTTTTAATTTCTTTTAGGGTTTGGGAAGTATTTGAGTTTTAATTTCTTTCAGGGTTTAGGGAAGTATTTGAGTTTTAATTTCTTTTATTATTGTAATTCAAATTGTGTTGTTATGAAAGTAGTCGTTATAAAATAGTCGTTGTAAAACTAGTCATTGTAGAACTAGTCATTATAAAACTAGTCGTTGTAAAACTAGCCGTTGTAAAACTAGCTGTTATAAAACTAGCCGTTGTAAAAATATTTATTTGTAGACTTTTTCATCCAATCCTACTCATTCTCATATCTTCTCACACAAAATCCCCATCTATTCTTCTTCGATTTTTAGATTGATACGTGATGGATCGAAACAACAATTTAGATGACCCAAACATCAATTTAGATGATCTTTTGGATCAATTCATAGATGAGGAACTACACGACAACACCGGCGAAGAGTTGATCCAGTTGATGATACAAACCTATCAACAACAACTTCCCAACACCACAAGGTCAAACTAAACAAGGAGGGTAGTTCATCGAAATCGTGAGGAAGGTCATGAACGATTGTTCAATGACTATTTCTCTAAAAATCCAGTATACACAGAAACTTAGTTCTGAAGATGGTTTCGCATGCGACAACATGTGTTTCTCTGAGTTGTAGATGCCATAAGCAATCATGATGAGTACTTTCGAATGAGGCTCGATGTAACATGTAGAATGGGCCTATCACCGTTCCAAAAGTGCACAACTACTCTTCGTATGCTGGCTTATGGGACACTTGCTGACTTTGTGGACGAGTATATTAGAATTGGTGAAACCACTGTAGTGGAATGCTTACAAAGATTCGTGAAAGGAATTTGTGAAATATTTAGGAGTGAGTATCTGAGACGCCCTAATAACGAAGACATTCAATGACTACTACGGATGGGAGAGGCACGTGGGTTTTCTGGAATGCTAGGTTCAATTGACTATATGCATTGGGAATGAAAGAATTGTCCAGTGGAAAGGTCAATTTTGTCGAGGTGATCATGCCAACCCAATAATCATTCTTGAAGTTGTTGCATCACAAGACTTGTGGATTTGGCATGCATTTTTTGGAACTGCAGGTTTGAATAATGATATTATTGTGTTAAATGCATCTAAAGTATTTAATGAAGATCTTTTAGGAACTGCTCCGACAGTGCAATACACCGTGAATAGAACCCAATATAATATGGGTTAATATCTAGCAGATGGCATATATCCAGACTTTACTACATTTGTCAAGACCATCTCGATGCCATAGGGGAAAAAAAGGAAATTATTTGCCCAATGACAAGAATCAACGAGAAAGGATGTAGAACATGCATTTGGAGTCCTTCAATCTCGATTCGCAATCATACGAGGTCCGACATGTTTTTGGGATGCCGCAATAATGAAAAATATAATTTATGCATGTATCATATTGCATAACATGATTGTCGAGGACGAGCGAGACACCTATCAAAATTATATTGATTATGATGGTGTAGACGATGACATGTCAAGATCTAAAATATCTATAGGTGCTCATCCCAATTTTAGAACAACATACCTTCAAAGCAGAGCAGACGTTCATAACAAATGAATGCACCGCCAACTTCAAGCAGATCTTATTAAACATATTTGGGAACGTTTCGAAAATAATAATGATGAAAATTAATTTCGTATAATGTTTATGTATTTATTTTCTTTCATTGTAGTGCAATTGCCCTTTTTAATAAATTTTTTAATTTAGTTCATAAATGATTTGAAAAAAAATTCTAGAAGTTGAATTTCTTAAAATTTCTTACCATTGGAGTAAATTTCTGTTTGAGTTGCTTAATGCTAACATGACACACTGGGGACTACTTTTTTCATTTTTCAATGCATGAAGCAACTCAAATGAGTTGCTTCCATTGGAGATTCCCTTACATTGTCTATTTCTTTGTACCCATATTGTGATTAAGAGAGCTTGAGGTGTGATAATTACACACTATTCGACAACTGAAGTTGTTTTACATTGGTTAAAGCCGATGACAGGTTTGTATGGTGTAATAATCCCTATTGGATCATGGATCTTATGGTGTACAAGGAATAGAAGTGTGTTTGAAGATGTTCATGCATGCTCACTTAGCCTTTTTGGTTGCATAAGTTTAGTACAACTTTAGGATCAGATGCAAAGTAAAAATGTCTAGGTGCTCCTCAGATAATTTTGTGGTAGATACCATATACGAGCACCATAGTTTTGAATGTGGATGACAGTGCTCAAACAAATCAAAGATCGGGATTTAGGAGGCTTTGCAGAGATCATATTGGTATTTTCTTAATGGGTTTTTATGGTAGTGTTGGTGAATCTAACATACTCCATAATGAGATTATGGCCTTGTTTCACAGGACTTGCATTTGTTGGCATGGGAAGTTGGTTTCAGAGAACTAATGTTATTCAAATTCTGCACACAATTCAATTAGTTGAAGATGAAGTTCAGCATCACTTACCCACAAATGAGCTCACAATGATTCGTAATTAAATGCTAAAGATTGAAATTTCTCTCTTATAATATGTTTAGAGAGGGAAATAAGTGTGTTCATATTTTATCTAAAATGGTAAATCCACACTGGGAGAACTTGATTATCCTTCATGATCTGCTAGCTAGTCTTGGATTAAGGTCCTAAAGGGTGATGGTATCAGAGTTTTGTTTACTTAGGTCTTAGTTCTTTTATTTTTTTTCCTTCATATATCTCTTGTAACAAAAATAAAAACCTGTTTGCTCTCTTTGATATAGTTATTTTTTCTAATGAAAGTGCATATAATTATTAGTATAAATATTTTAAATCTACATGGTACTAGTTGTCATGAATGCATATACTACAAACAATTCCATTACAATTGATGTATGTCATCAATATACATTGAAAAATGGATATGATAAATCAAAAATCATTTTTTTAAGAAGGCATAACTCTTTGATTAAGGTGACCAAATGTCAAACTTCTTAAGTTAAGTTTCGGTATATGATAAATCAATTTGTTAAGAAATATAGAACTTATATAGTAATAATTCAACTCCTTTTTAAGAACTAAAATTTAATACTTACCTGGCGAAGGGACGGATTGTTTGGTATATAGTTCAGAGAAATATCAAAAGCTGTTTCCTTCATTTTGTTAACCGAAGTGAGATCTACTCTTTCATCCCATGTTAAGGCATCAACAACGTTTGGATGGCACTTCTCAGTAGCCAAATGCAATGGAGTGTTTCCCTCGTTATCTTGGTCATTTATCATCTCTACTAGTCCATGCTTTGCATCTTGCAAGATGTATTTTATCACATCAAACTTTCCCATTAGAGCTGCAATGTGAACCATATTTCGCCCATAGTTATCAAGTATTTCTTTTGGATCTGGACAGCATTCATGTTCTAGCAATTTCTCCACCACTTTAGTATGCCCACCCGCACAAGCCAAATGAAGAGGAGAAAGACCATAATTGTCCTTTTCCATGATACAGGAAATACATTTTCTAAGCAACTGCTCAACACCATGAACATAACCTATGGATGCGGCATAATGAACAGGAATCCTTCCTTCGATATCCTTTAAATGAATCCATTCTTCATTTATCGACAGTATCTTCTCTAAAATATCTGGCACATGTTCAAATAACCAATTAATTGTAGAACCTCATTAAGAAGCATCAACAAATGAATTATGTGGGGGAAATAAGGAATATTAAAAAGGCTTCAATAATTAAAAATATTTATAAATATTACTGCATGAGAAAACAACAATTATTATAAGAATGAGCTTAATGATGGGTAATCTCTAGTTATAGAATAAAATGAATTTCATCGATTAATGTTGACCTATCAAGAGAATACTAATTTAATTTAATCTATATATGTAGCCTTTCCATCTCTTTGGTAGGAAATGCCAATGGGGCTATGTGAGGGCGGGAAGTAAGGTACCATCTTCAAATAAAAATTAATCTTGTACCATCTTCAAACTTATGTGATTCATATTTATAAAATTCATAGATATTTATAAAATTTGTTATTTATGTTTATAAAATTCGCATATATTTATAAAATTTTCCAGATAGGTGTTTAGTCTCTAATAAATAAGCTTAACACCTATCATTAATTGTTTTATTACTTGTTATATTAATAAAAAAAAGTTTTATTTTTCTCTATCATCTTCGTCTCTTCCTTCATGGCAATTCTCAAGTCAGCAACTTCATCAAACCTGCTAAGTTTCAATGTAGTAACATTACATCTAACATAAATATCTTCAAAGGTTCTACACCTCTCACTCAAAATTCAGTGTTATTATCATAAATTTCTTCATCATCTTCAGAATTTTGCTCTCGCAAATTATCTTCTTCAAACAACACTTGATCCTTTTTCTTGACATTTCTCCTAATTCCAGTTTGAAAATTCATCAAGTTTTGCAATGTGACAGTGCACCAAATTCAAAAATGTTTATATATGAAACTGATAAGTTGTGAGAAACACGGTATTCAAGTGAAGCCATAGGGAACCTCTTTTCTGAAAAGCTCGTATATAATTAAAAGGTGGAAAGAAGACTCATCTAAAAAAAACTCAAGGGGTGCATACCATCACAAATGTGCATATATATCATCAAAAAGGTGCAACATCAAAAATATGAATATCATATTGGAAAATTCCGCAACATTAGAAGGATAAACTCCATCAAAAGTGTAATTTAAAAAAAAATGTAGATTCAAATGTTCATATCTTGAGCTAAAAAATAATGAATATGTGAAGACCTTAGTGGTTATGGAGATCCTAAAGAAAGGTCTACATATTTCATACAGAAGTTGATATATAGCTGATATGACTTGGATAATGGAAAAAAGTTGACATGATGCAAACTTTAAAGTTTCTTGACAATATGACATAACTACAATATTTTTTTAGCATAACTTAAGCTTTAGAAGTGAAATTAAGGTGTTCTAATAGATATGGAGTTGAGAGCTAATATATTTATATCAATTACAAAATTGGTCTTGAAGAGAAAAAAAGTTATGTTTTGACAATTTTATTTAGTTGTATTTTAAGGATGTCTCCTTAAAAATAGGTTTTGTTTACTTGTGTTAAACTCCCAGGTCCTAATGTGTGGTGTTGTGGTTGAGATGGTGTGGTTGTGATGCTATTATGTTGTTGTATAGGTAATAGCTAGTACTATCTTTTGATATGTGTATTTGTTGCATCCCGAGAATTGGTGTGACTGTGGTTGAGCAGAACCTTCAGAAGTTTAAAACTGGTTGTTGATTAAGCTTGAAAGGCCAAGAAAAAAAAAACTTGTATGGTTGATTGTTATAGCGGAGAAATCCCACCTTGTCTGTGGGGATTGGACATAGTCCAAAAGATTGTTTGAGTAAACAAGAAAATCTCTGTGTGATATTTTTTCTCCTTTTTGTATTTATTCATCATGTCATTGCTACATCAAAGCATATTGAACATCAAAATGTTCTACATATGAGCTTTCTAGACATTAGATGCCAAATATTAGAAAAATGAACATCAAAATCCATAACATCATAATACTAAATAACACAATGTTGAATTTAAGAAGATGATCTTAGAGGAAGGATATGGGAGTACTCATAGTATTAACCTAGGAATTACTACGATGTATCGGGACCTTTGGAAAATGATCTGGTGGCCTAAGATGATGAGAGAGGTAGAAAAGTTTGTATACTCATGTTTAGTATGCTAGAAGTCTAAGGTAGAACATCATAAGCCTTTAGGACTTTTGTAACCTTTAGATGTCCCTATTTGGAAGTGGTATAGTGTGTCTATGGACTTTGTTATAGGTTTGCCTAGGACGTTTAGGAAGTTTGCTTCTATTTGGGTTGTGGTGGAAAGACTCACCAAGTCTACTCACTTTATCTTTGTTAACATTAGATATTCCTTGGAGAGATCGATGGTTATATATTAGTGAGATAGTAAGGTTATGTGAGACTTGCTCTAGTATAGTTTCACATAGAGACCCTAAATTTACCTCCAGATTCTGGGAGTGTTTTCATAAGATCTTGGGTACGAAACTTAGGGTGAGTTCGACATACCACTCATAGATTGATGGTCAAATCGAGAGAATCATAACATCTTTGAGGATTGAGGACATGCATGAGGGTGAAACAGTTGATAGGAAAGAATGTTCCCTTGGATAAGATGATTTGGGGAGGAACAACGTCTAACAATGGTACTTGGGAGTTGGAGAGAAGATGAAGAAGTCATATTCAGACCTCTTCATTTGAGAAATTCGGGGAAGAATTTCTTAAAAGGGGGGGGGGGCTATTGTAAAAATAATTTTTAAAAATAATAATATTATTATTATATAGTATTTGGTCAATATTATTTTATTATTATAAAAGAATATTATTTTGTACATTTTAAATAATTATTTTGTACTTATTAAATAATTATTTTTATTAGCATTTTAAATAATTATTTATATGATTTAAGGGATAATTTGGAAGTTGATAAATTATATATTTTATTTTAAAATCTAAAAGGTTGATTTCATAGGATATTTTAATATTGAAATTATATTATTATATTTTGGGTCAAAAATATATTACTATTAAAAAAAATATTTTTTGTATTATTATTTATATTTATTTTGTTAAATTATTTTGAGAAAAAGAAGAATAGGATAATAAGTTGGGTTGACCCGGCCCAAGGGAACTTAAAGAAGGAGTTAGCAGATAAACCCTCATTAGTCTCATTTGACATTTTCTGAAAGAGTAAGAAAAAGAGAAAGGAAAAACATGAGTTCTAAGGAGGAGTGCCCAGGAAGAGATCAAGAACGACTTCCACTATATCAAGAGTATTATGATTAATGCAACCAGGTATAGGGAAAAAATGGATTTTTTTTATATACGAAGTCACATGAGGGAATGGGTAGAGGAAAAGTTCCCTAGGATTTTTAGTAATTTTATATTCATTTTTGTTTGGATGCCTAACGATTCTAATAATTTCTATATGGACTACTTATGAGCGTATTTATGGTATTAGATGTTAAAATTGATGTTCTGATGGAGAGATTGAGTTGTTTGAAATGTGCTTGTGGGTTAGGATTCATGAAGGATTGGGGTTCTAATAATTGATAGGTTGTTTTGTGAAATTGACGATTCAATTGGATTTCATATTGATTTATAAATGTGATTGTGATATTATTTGATAAAATTGATGATCTAGATGATGATTGGATTTATTGGGATGTGCTCTGTAAGTTAGGGTTCTTGTAATTTAATGGGTACCCTTAATTATATGAATTGATAAGTAATTGAGAGATTTTACTTATAGATGTACCTTAGTAATTTTGTAATATCTTTCTGTGTGATTAACCAAATCAATTTTTGTTTGTTGGGATAGAAAGCAGACACTTGGGACTATAATTTAAACTCTAGAATTGTGTAAAAATATTAAGAATTGATTGAGTTATGCGAGTTATAAGTTCAGTCTCCATTCTAGTGTGCGAAAGATTAAGTTTTGTGTTGTCAGCCATATGAGGTGACCGTAACGACATTTTTAGGCTTTGTGTTTCCCACAAAAGTTGCATATTTTGGTTTTATATTTCTAATGGCTTTGTAATCACTCAAAAAAAACTCTATAACTCTAGATATGACTATTTTAGTGAACAGGGGTCAAGCTATCAGTATGAATTTTATGTGTTTCATATTTTGAAAGTTTTAGCTAAGTAGATGATTTTTTTTGAATTTCATGTCTTCATAAGAGTTGTATATTAATTCTCTTATATTTATTTTGAGATATGTTTGAATGTATTTGGATGAGTATAACTCTTTGTGTGTTGTTTTCTTTGACAGTTGTCAAAGGGAGATGAATATTGTTTTGATGTTCTAAGGTGTTATCATGTGGATTGAAAAGTGGTTTAAAGTTGTATGATACTATATTGTAGAGTTAGTTCATATATGTATGATGATGTGATGTGAATTCATGGTGCGTTGCGTGAGGGGTATGTGAAGCATCATTTTGTATGAATTTATCTATATTGTGCATGTGATGTGGAATTGAAATGTAAACCGTGATGTGATGATTGGGCATAGTCATATGCGTGACACTAGGCCGTAAGGGCGTGTGATGGAGGACCATCCTTGAAGACACATGTGGGCCCCATCACTAGGTCCATGGCTAGTAGGACAGAAGAGGAGGAGGGAGCTCACACACCAAAGGATACTCTCCTCATGATCATAAAGTATTAAGTACTCGCCTGAGCCTTATTAGCATAATATTTATTTTATTCCTATTTTTCCATTGTCTTTAACTTCCCATTTTACCCTTGTCTTTTGGGTACGTTAGACATAAGATTTAATTTACTTGTACTTTCTATTTTACCCTTGTATTTTGGGGTACCTTTGACATAAGATTTATTCTTCTTGTATTTCCCATTTTACCCTTGTATTATGGGGTGCCGTAGATTATAATATTTTATTTTATAGCTAGGGTATTTTATTAAGGTTGGAAATTAAGCCTAGACGTGATTTTTGGTGGCATTGGATTTATTTTTTGGACTTGGAAAGGCTTAGGCCCATGTGGAGGGCACCTAGGTTGCATGGTCTTATCATGCACCTAGATGTAGCTTAACCAAACCTAAAGAT